TGTTGCTGTAGTTTATATAGCCTCTTTATTGTCTCGTGTCTTTAGTCTGTCTTATCTATTTGGTCGTAAGTATCCCAGAAGTCAGTTTCCTTTTCTATTGCTCATTGTTATCAGACTCTACTAACTCTTGTTAATGTGTCTAGGATTTCATGCCAAATATGAAATTATTCCTGCTTAATATGCAAAACATGTGTCACAACTTTCTTGTGGTCCTTAAATTCATACACAGTCATTTTATTTTAAGAGTTATGTACCAGCACATGCTGGAAAGCAGCTTTGTAGAAAATGACCTGGATCCTTCTGGATATCAAGTTGAACATGAGCCAACAATGTGCCCTTGCAGCAAACGTGGCTAAAGGTATCCTGGGCTGCATTAGGCAAAGCATTGCCAGCCCATCAAGGAAGGTGATCCTTCCCCTCTAATCTGTACTGGTGAAGTCACACCTGGAGTGCTGTTTCCAGTTCTGCAGTCCCCAGTACAAGAGAGACATGGAACATGCTGGAGAGGGTCCACCAAAGAGTCACTAAGGTGGTCAAGGGACTGGAGGATGCACCAGTCCTCTTATGAGGAATGGCTGAGAAATCTGGGTCTGTTCAGCCTGGACAAGAAAAAGCTCAGGAAGATCTCATCAATCTATATGAATGTACATAAATACATTTATTATACATATAAATGTATATAAAGGGGGAGTGTAAAATAATAGTTTTCTTCTTTTTCTAAAGAAAGCCTTGTGCATTTGTTCATGCTTACAGAGGCAGAAGGTTCTGTCCCATTTTTCTTCCTTCTGATGGGCAAGAAGCCAAACTAAAATGGTATATTGAGCATCCCTAGTTATGATATGCTTCGAGGCATATGACTGCCTAGAGACAGTCTCCAGTGTGCTTGCTCTTAGTTTTGTACCCTTGCATTACTTCCAAGAGGCTAAATGTCATTCTGTTGTCAACCATTTTACTGGGCAGTGGCATTGGTCAAATTTCAAACCTAACCATCCTTCCTGCTAAAACCAAGACAAGAACAGCTGAAATGGGTCTGCTGACTATTGCAAGCTTTTTGGCCACCAAAAAGGTGGCATAAATGAATTAATATGTGGCTTCCCAGTTCGGGAAGACCTTGCTGCTATTCTGGCCTTACCTCCAGCAGAAAATGCAGAAGTAGAATAAAGAGCTGTAGGAATATACACATAATACTTCTATGAGTCAAGGCTTCCCCTTGCTATTTTTAAATTTTTGAGAACTTCTGAGCCCTGTTATTACTTACTTATAGGGAGGCATGGAAGTGACATGTGCCCTAAGCACCTGAGAGAACCTCCTCTCCTTTAACAAAGAACAACTAGTTCTTGTGATAGCTCATAAACCTTGAATGAACCTGCTCATCAGAGGGTTAATAAAGACGTCCCCAAGACCAGAAAATACAAGTCTTTATTGGAGCAGCGCTGGGGTTTGTCTGTGGGGAAGTACCTGAAAATGGAGCAAATTGCTTATGATCAAATGGGATACATCTTTTAGTGTCATAAGAAGATGCATTAGTTTTATGTGTGTCTGATACCTCCCTCTGCGATTGAAAGTCTGTTTACTTTCAGCAATAGCTTCAGAGGCTCTAGATCTTCTTTTCCTTTTTCCTTTGCCAAAGTGCAGAATTGGAGTGGTGGGGAGTGAGGGAGAAGAGGGGGCTTGATCCCTGTGAGACAAAAGTTGTCTGAAAATAAAGTCCTGCTTTATCAGTACAAACTGTCATAAGGTGGGGGGCTAAGGCAATGCATAAATTCCTAGTTAACTGTTTTCAGCTTTTGAATATGGGCATACTTGAAAAGGTATTTTCTAAATGGCATGCATCAGGACACTAAGAACATTTGCCCCATGAATTCTCTTCTTCCATGCCCCTGTTTTCTCAACCAAAAGTGATTTAGAGGATGATCAGGGGACTGGAGCACCTCCCGTATGAAGACAGGCTGAGAAAGTTGGGGCTGTTCAGCCTGGAGAAGAGAATGCTGCGTGAAGACCTCATCAGTATCCGAAGGGGAGCTATAGGGATGCTGGGGATGGACTACTCATTAGTGACAGGACAAGGGGTAACGGGTTCAAACTTAAAAGGGGAAGTTTAGATCGGATATAAGGTAGAAATTCTTTACTGTTGGGGTGGTGAGGCACTGGAATGGGTTGCCTAAGGAAGTTGTGAATGCTCAGTCCCTGGCAGTGTTCAAGGCCAGGTTGGACAGAGCCTTGGGTGACATGGTTTAGTGTGAGGTGTCCCTGCCCATGGTGGTGGGTTGGAACTAGATGATCTTAAGGTCCTTTCCAGGCCTAGCTATTCTATGATTCTAACTTTTCTGTAGTTTAAAAAATCCAGCACAGGCAACTTGGGGCAGTCTGTATCCTAGCATATGAAAATAAAGGCATATCTGACATTGCCTGCTTGGAAAGCAAATACGTATTTCCAGCTGCACCAAAACTATCTAAAGCATGTTTTGTGACCATCTTTATTCCTGCAGCTGGTATGCATATAGTGCATCCAGGCTTATTGCAGTCATAAAGTAACTTAAAATACTAGACTGCAGATCATGGATGTTTGTGTGCTAATAGCAGACAGCTGTGTGTAAATAGGGACAGGAAGAGGGTGGCAGCTTTGGCTGGAAAGTATGTGATTCTCTATATGAAGTGTTTTTATAACACAGATACATGGCTGTCTCTCGCCCCAAAATGTTAACTGCCTGGGTGTGAAGGGCGGCTGCGTGCTGCTCAGTCCAGCAGCTTCTTCTTGTTGGGTCTGAGCCCCCTTCATGCCTCCGGACCTGGTGGATTTTAATGTATGTGTACATACTGGGGAGTAGTGCTCAGTAGCTCAGAATGAAGGTGGAGTACTGCAATGAAATAACGGCCCAATGATAATGGAAACAGATACTTCAGTGCCTCTCTTATGAGATCAGTTGCTTTGTGAGGAAGGAATAATAAAAAAATATCCAAGTGTGCTTATTGCATGGAAAATGACTGGAGAACTGGTATTTGATGTAACATTTAACACAGTATTGCATTAAATTCTGGTCAGCATCAGAAGTTAAGGCATCTTTTCAGGGATAATAGATCACAGATTGTATCTGTCAGGTACTTTGAGTGTCCTTTGGGACTTCTAGTCAGTTCATCTGCAGACCCTAGCAGAAACGAATGAAGTTACTTGGATTGGTCTCTACTTAGATGAACTCTTATGATCCATTGTACCTGCCTCAAATATCTTTTTTGGTGGCCTTGTGTATTTACTTGCCCGCTCTCAACCTGCCCATTGTAGGGCTACTTCTCATTTCAGCAGCTACTTTCTTAAGACAAATGACTGCCTTGGTGAGTACTCTATCCTTTTCTACCCAGAGCCTGTAGGCTATGGAAAGATACTGCATGAAGTTTACCAGGAGAAAAATCTAGCTTTGACCCTTCAGTTACTTTCAGTGCTTCTCCTTTTATCTTCTGCTTGTGTGTTGAAAGTGCATTTTTAATTAAATTGTTTGCATCTTGTATATGCACAATACATTTATTTTGAGGGTATTTTTATTACAGCAGCAGTGTGGTGATATGTAATAAGTCTCAAGAATAATTAAAACCTGTGTTAACTTGTGTATGTTTTCCATAGTGATTGAACTTAGTGTTGAGTCTCTGCTGGGTCCAAAATCAGTTCTTAATCAAGTAGGAAGGAAGGAAGGGATTATGAGAGAAAGAACAGTTGGTTGTAGGGACCTCTGAAGTTCTTACCAGTTTAGCAGAAACTTCACCTGTCATGTTTACTAAAAAATGTGTATTGTCTCCAGTTTTAGGTATTTAGCTAAAGATAGTTTTTGTGTCCAGCACTTACTGAGGGAAGTTGGATAATGTTATGAATCAACTTTTGGAAATATCTTCACCTCTCCTGTATATAGATGTAGCCTCAGAGTTTTGTTCAGGCAGTCTTGGTTTATACTGAAGGCAAAAAAGCAGAGTAACCTGAGAAGGCTTTAACTGCATCACAATGTTAACCAAGCATAGGAGAGAACATGATCAATCATTTTTCTCTTTTACTTCAGGGAAGTAGAAATACATGTCAGAGTCAGCAAGGTATATGATTTTGATCTGAAACTTTGACTCTTTGTACCAAGTAGTCATTACTTTTTCTTTTAAATCAACAAGTTTTCTTCAGTCTAGGTCTGGAAAGGCAGGGAAGGCTGTGGGTCTTCCAAGTACCTTTCTATGAAAGATGAAGATGGTTAATAATGCTTGAGCACTTAAAGACCTGAAAAGATGTTAAAAAAATTGACTTGCTGAATCTGGAAATGCCAGTAACTATGCTTGCTTCCCCAAAACATTGTAATCAAATGGTTTACATTCATCATGGCATACTAGGGTTCAAAGATGGGATAAAAAAAGAGGCCTGATTCAAGGACAGTGATTGTAGTCCTGTTGCATGAAATACTGTGGAAAAGTCTTAATTTTTCTGTCTTTGCTGAAAACCAGAGATGCACATTGGCTTGTAGCTGGTTTGACTTTGCCAAAGGCAGCAGGTGAATTAACGTTAACCATGCTAGCTTTGCCAAGGATTCTGTGATGTCCTGGTCATACCCAAGTCAAGCTGAGGCATGTAACAGTGTTTTGAAATTGATAGTAGTTCTGATGAAGTCCCTAATATTAAACCAAATTCAAGAACTGCACTGGTAGTTAAATTCTAGTTCAGTCTAGAGGAGTGTGTTTTGTCTCTGGAAGAGTTCCATTTGGGTTAAACTGGTAAATCAAGTAACATCTTACCTAATTAAACCCCTCTATTTGAATGCCATAGCACTTGCACTACTTTTTCTTAGGTGAAGCAAGTTTTTAATTTTTCATTGCATTATTGTTAGCAAATATACTAGGCTAGCATTCACAAAGAACTTCAGTGATTATTTTGAAAGTATGAACAATGATGGAAAACCTGAGAGGAACAGACCTTTTTTTTTTCTTGAGGCTGCCAGGATTTTCCAAGATTGACTGACTATAGAGTTTTCTTACAGGTTGTGTCGAATGCTGCTGGACAGGGGGTTGCCATCACTGGGAACAACACTTTTAACAACTGGAATTGGCCTAATGCTGTTATCTTTGCTGCTACTGTGATCACTACAATTGGTAAGTATTTATTATGTCAACTTTCCTAACTACTTTTTTACCTGCTCTAGTTTGTATGTACTCTCCCATTTATGTGCCAAGCTAGCCACTGAATAAAGTCTCCATGGCTGGAACTGCCTGGAGTATGTGTTCACCTGCAGGTTCATAGAGGAAAAAAAACAGTTTTTTTGGAACTATCTCCATGAGTATGCAGAAACGTGTGCTTTTCCAATAAGTAATGGATTCAAGGTGGTGCTGGGGATGACTGGTGTCATTCCAATTCCCTTAATCCATGCACTTAAATTTCCAAATCATTACATCCCCAAATGAAAGCATTACAAAGCATTCCATTAAACTACTACTTGAAGCATGTGCGTATGAGGTGTTTGTATAGCTGTATTGTTACTCAGGTGCATGCTTTTAAGCTACTGAAATGTTCTTGGTTTGCAGAACAATTTAGACTTTGTATCTATCAAAGAAGACCAAGTGTAACAAGTGTTGTCTTCTAAATTTTCGTGCCTGTGAAACCATCTGCACTGAAAGACTTCTTCCTCCTTTGATATGCAGATTTTTCAGAGCTCAACATCATCTGCCTTCTGCTTTACAGAAAAATATTTGCTACATGATATTGCTACACCCTTGCTATACACCTGCAGTACAAAAAATCCCCCAGGAATGCAAAATAACCAGAAAAGGCTGGAGGTGTACAGAAATGGAAGTCTTACTGTTAAACCATATACAGTACTGTGGTTTTCTTTATTATTTGAAACTCACAATACCCAGCTTATAATATAATTTATGACAAAAGCTTGAAGTCAGGAACACCCATAAGTAAGAAAATTTTGGCAGAAGTTCAGAAAATAGGCTGCTGATTTTAGAGTCTGAGTTTGTCTCTTTTGGGTTCTGTGACCAGCAAAGACCTAAATTCAGTTGAAATATCTTTCTATGTCATAGCTCACCATGCACTTAAAACTCTCAAACCCTTACCCTGGAAGAGTACCAGGTCACAGGTTAAATGTGCAAAGTGGATCTTTTATGTGGAACCTAGCTTCAGGATGTGTTTTGAGGTTTTCTTTAAATTTGAATCAGTCAAGCTTTTAACAGTGCTGATTAAGGTTGGACAATCATATTAGAAGTTTTGAGATAAGGTTTATTTTATATTTATCTCATATTGTCAAGAGTAAAGATTCATAAAATCTAGGAATCATTTAAAATGCAGTAATACTCTCAGCTTGCATTAATGGAAGATATGTTTGCTAGAGTAGAATTGGAAGGCATCCAAATTCAGAAGATCAACAGCTGGAGTAGACTAAAGCTCTTACAGATGGTGAAGTAGGGAGCATCTGATACAGCAGAAGCCCACACAATGTTATTTTGTGCATAGGTAGAATTGCCTTGAATTCTCTGCAACAAGAACAGACCGTGCACAACTTATCTCTCTTAGGTTACGGAAATGTTTCTCCAAAGACACCCTCTGGGCGTCTCTTCTGCATATTTTATGGGCTTTTTGGAGTTCCTCTCTGCTTGACATGGATCAGTGCTTTGGGGAAGTTCTTTGGAGGACGTGCCAAGAGGCTGGGCCAGTTTCTGACGAAAAGAGGAGTAAGCCTGGTAAGGAAGGCTCTTGCTTGTTTACCCTTGTGCTGTGTATTTTTATGTATGAATTAAGCTTACACTTCTTAACTTGCTTGCTAATCTTAGTAAATGAACACTTGCACAAATGTAGATTTTTCCCAAATGGTGTTAGATATAAATAACTGAAAATGGGATTTGGTCTGATAAGTTAGTTCTGCAAGAAGTTTTAACAAAATAAGATATTGCAAAAACCTTTGATACTAGATATAGATCTTGTAGCTTCTATGGAAACATATATCTCCTTACATTAATAACCTGCAGGACAAAGATAGGTGAGGCTCCACTTCACAGTTATTTTGTGCAAGTTCCCCTGGCACAGAAATAAGCTGTCCTGCTTTGTTCCCACCTGCTTCTATGCTAGTATGAGAACTTGCTGTGTAGTGAACCATCTGGAAAATAATGTTTGGTATGAGTTACTGGCTTGTTTTTTTGTTTGTGTCTTTTTGTTGTTCTTTTGGTGTCTTGGATGTGACTGTCTGACTTCCCTATCCTCCATCGCTTTCCCCTCCTAATAAGTAAGTTCTCACTCTGCATGGAGATGCAAGTCAGTGCAGTGCCATAGTGCCTGGGTAGCAATGAGACTGGTTTAGGTCCTGGTTTCAGAAACAAAGCAAGAACACTACATTCTTTGTTCAGCACCTGAGGAGAAAGTACAGAAAAAGATGGTGAAGTGCAGCCTTTTCTGATGAAAGTACAGAAAGGATGGTGAGTGCAGCTTTGTGCAGAGGTTGCATGAGTGGCAAAGGGTAGGAGACATAAATAGGAGAGAAGCATCTTAAAAACTTCTGAACCTCTATACTCAAATGAATAAAGGGAAAATCAGAGGTACTGACTTCCTTTTAGACTAGAGTGCTATGTCTGTATCCCATGCCTATTTATAAAATATCAGGAACTCCTTAAACTTTTCAAGAATGTGAAGGAAGTAATCCTATTTGAGCAAGTAGTTACAATAATAGTGAGTCCTGTGTAAGGGAGAAAACCCCTTTTTGTCAGATTTTGTCAGTTTTTGTCAGATGATGCTTGATGCCATGGATGGGAAAAGAAAATTTGGCGATCTTTCCCTGACTTTTTATTTTCCTTTTTTTTTTTTTTTTTTCAGAGGAAAGCTCAAATTACATGCACAGCTATTTTCATTGTTTGGGGTGTCTTGGTCCATCTGGTTATTCCTCCCTTTGTCTTTATGGTGACTGAAGGATGGGATTACATTGAAGGCCTCTATTTCTCATTCATCACCATCACCACCATAGGATTTGGAGATTTTGTTGCTGGTCAGTAATTGTATTTTATGTGTTATTTCACTACATACACATAGTGTAGCAATTCTGTTTCCAAACTCTAATTAGAAAAGGTGCTTTCCCAAAACATTTTGCTGAATAGAAGCTCCAATTAATGCTTCCTACTGATCTAGTGGACTGAATCATGGCTCTTCAATCTTTGTTTAGATACTTAATGCCTTTATTGGGCTAAGTCTGGAGTTCAAAACTCTTTCAGGTGCCCCAGGTCCCTATTTCAGACAAGGACCTATCCTATCCACCATGACAGTTAAGCACCTTTGAATGGGATCCAGTTTACTGAGCAGATGCATAAGTACTGGGCAATGCTCTCTGCAGCTGTCTAGAACTAGTCAACAGGAAATGTTAAGTATACTGGTATCTCCCTCCTGAATCCACTGTAGTGGTAAGGGCTTTGGAGATGGTCCTTGTAAATGGAATTCTGAATCCTTTTCTTACGGAAGGTACTTATATCCATACCTCAATGGCAGGGAGAAGGCTTATAATTTTCAAACAGGGAAAAAGTTCATTTTCATAGTTTACAAAGGGAGGTTAAATATTCTGCCATTTTGTTTTAGTCCAGTGGCCAGAATACATGCAGCCAGGAAGTGGAAAACCTGGGACCAATTTTTTCTTTCAGAAGGGTTTCAGATCCCCGTTTGCCATCTCTCAGAGCAGTGTTCAAACAAGGCTCTGTTAGTGTAGAAGGGAGTAGTTCCCAGGGTCATAACTTCAAAGGTTTATCAGCTGTGAATCCTCTTTCAATAATGTTCTTGTTTTCAATTCTTTGTAGGTGTAAATCCAGATGCAAACTATCACGCCCTTTACAGATATTTTGTGGAGTTATGGATCTATCTGGGACTAGCTTGGCTTTCACTATTTGTTAACTGGAAGGTCAGTATGTTTGTGGAAGTCCATAAAGCAATCAAGAAACGGAGGAAAAAAAGAAAAGAGTCATTTGACAGCCATCCTCGGTCTAAAAAACCCCTTCAAATGGGTACCTCAAAGGATGTCAACATTTTCAGCTTCCTTTCAAAGAAGGAAGAGACCTACAATGATCTTATTAAACAAATTGGGAAGAAAGCCCTGAAAACAAGCAATGACAAAATTATTAAAGTAGAAAATGCCAAACAAAATATGCAGAATGCCGGTATAGATGCCCAGGTGACTTACACAAAGACAGAGTCATTTGAGTATGATGAGGCTTCCCTGGACATTCAGAATGGTCATGTACTGAGACCCATGCATGATAAACGTATGGGAGATAGTCCTCTAGAAGGAACCATGTTTGTAAACCAGCTGGACAGGATTAGTGAAGAAGAAGGTGAAGTATGGGATTCCAGAGACTATCGACCCTTAATATTTGAAAATGCTAATATAACATTTGTGAATGAAGATGATGATGAAGAGGACGATATCTCTGATGATGAGGAAACCTCAAAATCCTCCATGGATGATAATCTTGCAGAGGAATCTGAAACTGCAAAAAAACTGGTAAAATTCCCATCCTCTGATGAATCTACCTTTACCAATAATGAGCTAGAACTTTCTGTGCCTTACGAACAACTGATGAATGAATATAATACAGTAAGCAACGTGAAGGTTGCAACGTGAAGTGTTTTTGACAATGGTTTTCTGAAAGTGGTCAGTGCATATTGAAAAAATTAATGGAACAAGGAGAAAAGCATGTTTTTGCAGCTTCTCCTGTCTCTTTGAAAACAAATGCAAGTTCCAAACTAATAAACTCCAGTGTCCTTTTCCCATCCTAAGTTGGTTTCTGAGCCAGTCAGCTTTGCTTATCTGAAAAACTTGTAAAATAACAGTTGAATTTGGAGTCCTGCTTCTTCTTGGGATTTTATGGTTCTTGAACAAGGTAGAAAAGAAAAGACTAGTTAATACACTGGACCTGCTCTACGTTTATGCATTTCATTGAGGAAGTAGTTTGCGAGTGTAACTGTACTGTTGCAAGGAGACTGTTCCGGGCACCAAATGTGTTTGGTTGCTGCATTAGCCTCTCAACTCTGAAAATCTGGATTTGAATCCTGCTTTGATTACAAATGAAAACAAGGGGTTTGCTTTCCCCCCCAACCCTCCCAAGTTTCCCACTAAGTTGTTATCACAAATAAAATGGTGCAACCATTAGTCATACTTAATGAGAAATTTCAGATGAAATACCAGGACACAGATCTGAGCTGAGGTATGCTGGCAGACTGAGAAGGAAGCTTCTGAAATGTCTGTCTAGAATATGTCAGTGCTTGTCAAATTATAGTGAACTGTAATTTCATAAATAAATATTAAAATTAAACATTCCAAAGGAGTGGATTGAGAAGGAGCCTTCTAACAAGGAAGAATCACCTGGGATGAAGCTCACCAATTGGGCTGCTAAACAGCACATCAGCCCTAGAACAGTTAACAAGTAAAGTGACTGGAAGACCTATTGATCAAAGCATGTATGAGCATATGCAGGATGCAGTGAACTTTTTTAATGTTGAAAGTGTCCTTCCACTATCTATTTCCTAGAGGAAACACTTGAATGAACCTTATACAGTATCTATGTACAGGTGAAGTTGCATTGACCCTGTTTTGAGGACAAAATCACATTGGGAGGCACAGATATCTCCAAATGCCCTAATGCCTGTCAGAAGGAACCTGTAGTACTGCTGCTGATCTGTGCAGTGGGATAGTCAGTATTCTTTCATGTTTCTTCCCTTCCTCCCTGCCTTGGTACTTCACACTAGACTTGAACGAGATATGATTTTTTTGGAAACAGTTGATTACACTTTGCTTATTTACTTTGTTTCAAAGTTTGACCTATGTGCATATACAATGGTTATTCTATTCCACTTTCAAGAAGGTTGGGCAATGCCAAATCTTTGAAAAACTGAGAGGTGATCTAGTGACTTAGGGCCATAAGGCAGTTTTTGAAAGGAACTTTGGCTCTAAGCTCCTGAAAGTATTATTTTTTGGCTTGAAGATGGGCTTTGAGAAGGAAATATGTCTCTTTATAACACTTCTGCCCAAATTGTTTTGTCTAGGAAGAAAATTATACCATGGCTTTATTTTTATTTGTTTTTCCATATCTATGTATTGACCCCGACAACTTTTTCAAATGAGGCTCTTGATTACATGTTGGCAAAAGGTACTGTGCTGACTTCAGTTGTATCCAGTATACTTGGAACAGAAAATAGCCAAGGCCTTTGAACCTTAATATGTCAAGTTCTGTTGTTCTGTTTAGTTTTACAGTATTTAAGTCATTCTAGTATGTCCAAAAATTTCTGAAGTTCAGCGAACACTTAAAAGTTCTCATTCTCATTTTCAGAATGCTGGCAGACTCGCTAGCTTTGTAAGAAGAGCTTATGGAATCTTGCAATGCTAATCTTGAATTACTAGCTATTTCTAATAACTGCAAATATTGGCTGTAGCTTCAGTTGCTGGCCTCCTCAAAAGAAGGGGGAGAAGGACATATGGGAAACTGACACTCTGGTTGTATAGCTTGTTGGTGGGGAAGATTTGAAGTCATCTACTGTGAAACAAGGGACTGTCTTTACCAGTTGTCTTTTCAGAATTTTTCATGTATATGATATTTTTTCTTTCAAACAGAAGTTGAACACTAGGCCACCTCTGTTATACTGGCAAAAATGTGGAGTCAGCGTCATTGGATTTGGTAGTTAATCTGTATTTTATGATAATATCACTGAACAAAGATTATAATTTGAAATAAAATTTTATTATATTACTACTATTTGAAGCAGGGGTGGCTGGATTAATTTGATTTGTATCTGACAGGAAAGAGGGAGAGGCCACACTGAGAAGATTCTGTTTTATTTCTAATAGACACCCACACCCCCATCATTTAAAAATTAATCCCAAGCCCTCGAAGTGTTTCTGTATAACTGAAGGATTGTGGTTAACAGCTTGTAACTGTAAGAAATGGTAGGTAAGACTACATGCATTATACACAGGATACTTGTGTAGCAATTCCAGCCTTCTCTTTTTCGTTTTAAAAAGTATACATTAACTTCAGAGAAAATGAGAAAGCGCTCCATATAGTTTTTGTTGTTTTCCAACTTGTCTTCCGTTATCGATGCAAAGATCAAAATTTTAGGCACAGTTAGAAAGCTACAAGACAGTGAAGAGAGAAGAGGCTTGCTGAAAGTACGTGAAATGGATAAGCATTCTCCATTCTCAATAAGAAAAATAAAACCTCTCTTTAATACAGAAATAATACAACCCAGACACTTGGCTGGGCTGCTTTGACTGGGAGAGGATGTTGCACACTGCAACCCAGACTCTGCGTTCTCTGTAGCAAAGTGCACTTGTACGCCAGAGCTGAGAATGGTTGGGATCTGTTTCGTATTATCAGGTTAGAAGTGGTTCTCTGGCCTTTCCCAGTGTAGTCAGCATAAACTCAAAGTCTGCGTAATAAGTATCATGGGATTTAAAGTAATAGTTTAAATTTATTAAAACAAAGTACAATATTCCCACTTTTTTGGGAAACATGATCACACCTCACAAAACTGTTCTCAAGACATCCCACCATGTGCCTTAATGTAATCCTGACACTGGGAAAAAATTCCTCTTTACACAAGGGCCATCACAATTGGTCTCCTTAAGCCCTACTTGTTTTCAGTGTTTTGGAGGGTTTAGTTGGTGCATAGCTTTCACACTGTTTCTCTCCAAGAAGATGACCCATTCCGGATTATGGTGCCATCTCAAATTTGCCGAAGTGCTAAGCAAGACAGCTTTTTGCCTGCCTGTCTTCCACATCTTGAGAAAACCAGCTGCCTGGTGGATCCAAATTAATGTCTTTCTGCCTTCAGATTTACATGTTCTGAAGTGAGTTAGAGGGATATCCAGGCTGTATTCTGAGTTATTCAGCCCCAGAAGTGCCTGTGAGTGAATTCCCCCATGCTACTTGGTAAAGTCTTTTAGTTATTTCAATTACCTGGTCCATCTGGAAATATTTTCTTCAGATGTCATGTCAGATCTTGTTTGGTTAACTGATAATGTTAACAGCTGTCTTAAAGCTGTGGAATTAGTTTTATAACTGAGACACATCTCCTCCCAGACAGATGGGAAAGGGGATTTTTAAAAAAGAATGTGTGGGGGGAAAAAAAGTATAATCCCTAAACCTAAAAGCACATATAAGGAAGGGATGGAATAGCAGTGGAAACTCTTCTTTCTAGCTATTACCTACAAGTAGATTGCATTTTCAGTCACATCATGTGAAGCATGGGTCTGCTTTCACAATATAAACTTACTAACATTGCCAAGATGAGCCTTTTTCTTTTGACAACAAAAATCTGTCCCTACAAAAGCCCTCTTAAGTGCTACGTGCTATAGACTGTGACCCCATCCTTCTTTACTTCATTGTGGCAATCCTTGATTGTCTTCTTCTACTGAAGGTTATTATTACCAGGGGGGCATAATTTTCAGATACATACATCAGGCAGACTAACACATCTGATACACTGGTACGAAATCACTGATGAAATACAGAAAGTGGCGTGTTAAATTTTTTTTAATGGTTTTGAATGGTTTGTGAATCTGTTGCTGGCAATGGATGTCACAAAGCATGCAGAAATAAAACCAGCTTGATAATCAGATCCATGGTGACACAGTTGTATATATTGAGATTTTGATTTTACTGGGTTTTTTTCCAGTTGATCTGGGAGAGTATGTGTAGTGACAGACAAGCGTCACTGATGAGGAAAGCAAAAAACTATATAAAAGTCTGTTGACCTCAAAAAACACCCGAAGAACTTTATTATAGACTTATAATTTTTGTGCCTCGTGGGATTCGTTCATTTGTCCTGGATTTACCTTTTAAAAAATTAGCTTGTCTTTCATATGGCTTTTGAAGTTTGTACAGTTCTGACTCCTCTCACTCCATAATATGCTCATCTGTCCTCTGTTGCTGATTGTCACTGGAATCACACTGTATGTAAATATTTGCTAAGTCTTTGTAAAATGTAATTTATTTTAATATTTTGCAATAAAATTTTTACAATTTATCCTCTCCATCATGAGTAGAATGTCTATCCAGAAATTAGATTTCCTTTTTACAAATATCTATGTTTGCAATGCACCTCACAGGTGACAGTTGTCCTGGTCCAAAGAGCTTGAAGGTAAGGAGCTGATAAAGCATGTTTTATGCACACAGACACCTGTACTTGTATGGGGCATTGATGACTTCAATTCAACAGCATCTGGTCTTTAATTAGATAAATGAAAGTTTATTCTAGGGGCAGTGTTTTTTTCAAGGGGCTGTTTTTAAAGTAGAGACAGGAAGTGTTAGAATTGACGGTACTACAATAAAATAAAATGGTCCTTTGACTGCTATCTGAATTTTATGCCAGAGCTATTAAAAGAGCTGAGTGGATCTTTATGAATTTTCACAAGGTTTCTAGCAGCAGTGCTCACCATTTACAGTCCAACTCCAGCAGTTTCCTTAAAACATCTTGGAAAATAGATAACTACTTACCTTAATGAGTAGCAAAAAGTGGCTTTGTGATCCCCATGGTGGAGATGGAGCCATCTGCAGAAACTAGGCCAACCTCAGCCTGAAGGAAGAGACTGACCCTTAGCTTTTAGGCAACTGAAATTGCTGAGGCATGAGCTAGGAAAGTGGGGAGATGCATCAGCACAGGAGGGAAGGGTGGATGCTGTTATCATTTGAGTCAAAGTAGCTGATCTTTGGGTTTTCCTCCAGCTCCACAACAGAGGAGTAGTGGAGGAGGAAGAGGTGCCTGAAGGGTGACTGATGCCAAAAACAGCCAAAGAGGGAGGTGGGGTCCCTTCATGGAGCTGAGGGCAGGCCATAGTCTGGTAAGCACCTGATAACACTTGTGTTGGTCCCAGCCGGTTGGAACCCACACTGTTGTTCACCTTTTGCCCTGGGTATTTTAGTAGTGTGTTAGTCGTTTGTAGGGGGCAGGGTAGTAAGAAGTAGGAAAACAGGACAAACCTGTATCTGTTAAGTGCCTGTTCTTATAGTCCATGCCTGGCTTGTGGGTTCCCCTGAACACAATAGCTTAATAGATAAAATCACAGACCAACTGACACTTAAAAAACCTAATCTTTTCACTGAGCACTTATGGGTCTTTACAATGCATGGTGCAACATGATACCCAGCAACCTGTAGCTCATGGAAATGGAGAGCTCAAAGTTTAAATTCTGGGAGATGAAGACAATGACAGAGCAGGTTGCTTTTCAGGACCATTTTATATAGGGAAAAGCTATTTCACTCCCTTCGAGGGTATTTTCTGTAGCTGGACTTAAATCCTGAAGAACCTATAGAATAACTCAGCTCTTATGCAAGGACCTGTGGGGAAGTGGGGGGAGGTCAGGAAGAGTTTTCTTTTCAAATTCATTGTTTGTATCTTGTGCCCTTCAGCAAGGGTTGGGTGTTTAGTGATGTTTGGTTGTGGTTTGGTTTGGTTTGGTTTTAGTTCTTTGGTTGGTTGTGTTTTTTGTTTGTTTGATTTTGTTCTAAACCTTTTTTTAGCCTCTACCTCCCTATGAGTAAGAATCAGAATGGTTTGGGTTGGAAGGGACCTTAAAATCAGCTAGTTCTAACCCTCTCTGCCATGGGCAGGGACACCTTCCACTAGGCTAGGTTGCTCAAAGCCCCATCCAACCTGGCCTTGAACACTGGCAAGGATGGAGCATTCACAGCTTCTCTGGGCAACCTGTGCCAGTGCCTCACCACCCTCATAGTGAAGAATTTCTTCGTTATATGTAATGTAAATCTCCTCTGGAATAAAAAAAGTGTGGGCTGAGCACAACACCTGTTAGATTTTGGCTTCTTTTTGTTCCATAAAGCCTTTGGAGAACTTCCCTGACCTGCATTGCAGATGTGGTCTCTTTCACATCCTCTGCCTGGCTTCACAGTGTGATTGCAGGCTGTGGCTTTGACTCTATGTCTGAGAAACAAGGGTGAGCAGAGGGTGGGAGCAATGTGTCTTGCTTCAGGGGCCATGTGTCTTGCTGAGAGAGAACCTGTGGCATTGCCTTTCCCTGTCAGGCCCTTAGCAATTCGTCAGACATGTTCTTCACCTACAGGTCTTGTGCAGCCTAGGATACTTGAAAAGCTTGCTAAACGATTTATTTCTACTAAATGTGTTGACAGATGTCCTGGCCTTAAACCACAACAGCAGATACCTTCTGCGATGCAGCTGATGTGACTGCTGCCAACTTATGGTACAACAAGTAGTCTTAGGGGGGAAAAGGGGTGCACTACTGACCTTTACTGCCTTGATTTCCAACCTAGCTCCCAAGAAAACCAGACTCATCATGTGAGGGTTGTGGTGTTTTGTGGAAACACAAATAAGTGTGCAAACCAGGTGCTTTTTGTCTTGGGATGAAAATAAATTCAAGCAGTGGTTATCTTGGACTACACAGCCACCCTAGCACAGGGAGTTGTACTGCGACTGATGTGAGCACAGAGGCCCAGAACAAAACACCCACAAAAATTCAGCTCACTGACCAAGGAAATTTGTTATTTCAGATCAGAACGGCTTATCTTGAAAGGGGGAGTGGGCTGGGATGTTGCTGACACTGTCCTTCACAGAGGCTCCCTGAAAGCCAGGTACCAGGTTCTAGTTAGTAGGGCTTCCTCTGAAGGCCAAGTTTCCAAGTACAGCCCATAGCCATAACTCTTCCTGATTGGAAAAAAATATATATAAGAAATACATTGAAATAGGAGAAATATTCTGATGGAAATATTTTAATAGTCACTTTGGATTTTACAGACTGAAACAACTGTGAATTAAAAGAGGTTTATTTGCTATTTTTAGAATATTTTTCATGGGGTGCCTGAAGTTATCCCCTTTCGTTGCTCCTTGCTGCTTATAGGAAAAAGTAGAAGAGAAATGCTGATAACTTTTTGTATTTTGTTGGTTATGTTGCTTTGCAGATGGAGGAAGCTGTGGAAAGTGCACCCTGCCCCCTTTTCTCCTTACTGGGGTGGGGCTGTGAATGACCAAGAAAGCAGAACAAACAAACTGAAAAATGAATTCTGAAATTGGGGTGAGAAGGTTAAAACACAAAATATCTGAAGTAAAAGTTAGCAGTTTTCCCATAGACAGTCTTTGCAATTTCCCATGCTAACCTTTTAGGAAAGTATGCAAAAGAATTTTATTAAATATGCCAAATAAAAGTACTTGTGTTTTCAAATTAGATCTATGCATTATTTATTCAAGAAAAAAACAAGCACTTTGACACAGTTTTATCCTTATTTTAATATAATATTTGAATATAGAAGGCTCCAGGAAGACCATACAACAGTTTTCCAATGTCAAAAGGGGGCCTACAAGAAAATTGGAGAGGGGCTTTTGATAAGGGTGTGTAGTGATAGAACAAGGGGGAGTGGCTTTAAATTGAAAGAGGATAGGTTTAGATTAGTTACTAGGAAGAAATTCTTCACCATGAGGGTGATTAGACACTGGCGTAGGTTGCCCAGAGAAGCTGTGTCTGCCCCATCACTGGAAGTGTGCAAGGCCAGGTTGGATGGGGATTTGAGCAACCTGGTCTAGGAGTACGTGTCCCTGCCCATGGCAGAGGGTTTGTAACTGTATGGTCTTTAAGGTCCCTTCCAACCCAAAACATTCTATGATTCTATAAAAGTAGTGTGTGGCACCATCCTGTCCCTTTTAGTTATAAGGAGAATGAATCCAGTCTGTATGAATAACTATATTCTCATACCGAGAGCAAAAATCCTGGTCAAGGCCTGTCATCAGCTTTGCTCTGTTCTGTGGGCTTGCAGCTTTGGGCACTTCTTAATCACATTTTTCTTTGTCTGGTTAAGTTTCTGGGTGTATAAGGAAGTATAATTGCTAATACTGCTAATATCAGAGACAAACATCCTCTTGTGTGCTTCTTTGCAGATTGGACCCTACCCATACTGATCAAAATAAGCAGGGTACAGAAGAGCACTCATTCCTACATACTCCTGGTTGCTGGGCAGAACTGCAAAACATGTCCATGTGAATGTGAAATAAATCCATGTTCATGTTGAAATAGAAGTCACAAGATTCTGAAGCTAGAAGATAAGGGTTTACTCATAAACCTGTGTTGTTCTTCTCTGGCTACCTTCATATTTGCTG